GGATTTAGCTGGATTTAGCCAGCAAAAAGTGGGATTTCACCAGGATTTAGCTGGATTTAGCCAGCAAAAAGTTGGATTTCACCAGGATTTAGCCAGCAAAAAGTTGGATTTCACCCGGATTTAGCTGGATTTAGCCAGCAGAAAGTGGGATTTAGCTGGATTTAGCCAGCAAAAAGTTGGATTTCACCAGGATTTAGCTGGATTTCGCAAGCAAAAAGTGGGACTTCACCCGGATTTAGCTGGATTTCGCCAGCAAAAAGTGGGATTTCACCAGGATTTAGCTGGATTTCGCCAGCAAAAAGTGGGATTTCACCAGGATTTAGCTGGATTTCGCCAGCAAAAAGTGGGATTTCACCCGGATTTAGCTGGATTTCGCCAGCAAAAAGTGGGATTTCACCCGGATTTAGCTGGATTTCGCCGGCAAAAAGTGGGATTTCACCAGGATTTAGCTGGATTTCGCCAGCAAAAAGTGGGATTTCACCAGGATTTAGCTGGATTTCGCCAGCAAAAAGTGGGATTTCACCAGGATTTAGCTGGATTTCGCCAGCAAAAAGTGGGATTTCACCAGGATTTAGCTGGATTTCGCCAGCAAAAAGTGGGATTTGGATTTAGCACCCGGATTTAGCTGGATTTAGCCAGCAAAAAGTGGGATTTCACCAGGATTTAGCTGGATTTCGCCAGCAAAAAGTGGGATTTCACCCGGATTTAGCTGGATTTCGCCAGCAAAAAGTTGGATTTCACCAGGATTTAGCTGGATTTCGCCAGCAAAAAGTGGGATTTCACCAGGATTTAGCTGGATTTCGCCAGCAAAAAGTGGGATTTCACCAGGATTTAGCTGGATTTCGCCAGCAAAAAGTGGGATTTCACCAGGATTTAGCTGGATTTCGCCAGCAAAAAGTGGGATTTCACCAGGATTTAGCTGGATTTCGCCAGCAAAAAGTGGGATTTCACCAGGATTTAGCTGGATTTCGCCAGCAAAAAGTGGGATTTCACCAGGATTTAGCTGGATTTCGCCAGCAAAAAGTGGGATTTCACCAGGATTTAGCTGGATTTCGCCAGCAAAAAGTGGGATTTCACCAGCAACATCTAGGGCTACTCACCAGCAAAATTTGTGATGTGGGCTCGCCATCCAAAGGGATTGGACCAAGCTTTTTACTGACACAACGAGTCGCCTGTCCCAGAGTCATGGTGATCGCCAATCATGGGGACCTATGTACCATTGGATATGTTTATACCTGGGAGATGCCCCAATATCTAATTATGGGATATTTGATGTGTGATATAATTGGGGCCATAACTAATGGATATGAAGGGGATATGTCTATGACCAACAAGAAGCGCTTTTCTGGATCCGTCTAATGGAAATCACCAATTCCAATGGATTATCATCATGTCCGCATTGGTTTAATGGCCATGAACTGGGGTATATATATTCTGAACAAACCCACTTGGAGGGTTGAAACTCCAACCAAACCGCTTTAAAGATCTTACAGGGTGCCTTTGCTTGTATCCGTGAACTGTGATGCTGCTATTGAATGCTATTTTTTCTAGTTTGCAAGTTGAAGTCGTCCGTCAATCGCAGTTTTCATGCTGCAAGGGTTGATGAAAACCAGACAACTTCCAAGGCACCAATCACAGTTCGTGTCATGGGCATGCGGAAAGTCGATGACCTGCGGTCGGCCGGAAGAGAAAGGCCGGGTGGTTTCATGGGTGCCATTCATTATCCAATTGACAAGTATGGGGTCATCATATTTAGATCCATGGTTGAAAAAAATTGTTCATAACCCTTCAATCACTGCTATTCCGGCTATTCCCAGAAAAATATGAGAAATATCCCGTTTTTGTTGCTCAGCTGGAACCTCATTTGTGTGGGTCACATCCTCAATTGTTTGGTGCTTGCCTCCCCATTTGGTTGCTCAAATTGCCATTTGTTGCAGGTAAACTTCCCATTTGGCTGTCTGAAAATAATGTATGCCATGGTATACACCAAAAATTGATGGTAAATCAATCTAGCCATACCCAATGATAAAACATCCCCAAAATCATCAACCAGCCCGTTCCGGGAGATTGGCCTCTGGTGCCATGTATTCTGGCGTACCCGCTAAGGTATTTGTCTTGTTGATCACGAAGCGAGCAAACCTGGGGTGAACATGCATCGATTTGGTCAAAATATCGTCGAAGTCTAGAGTATTGATTCATGTTTAAGTGGATTTATCAAGTAGGGATAATTAGGATATAAATATATACATATATATATACATATATTAATATACAAATATATACATATATATACATATATGTATATACATATATATTAATATAATATATATATACATATATGTGTATATATATACATATATATATATATACATATATATACATATCTATATATATATGTATATTGTAGATTATTGGTGATTTAAAAAAAACTGGAAGGTGAAACACATCACCATCAGCCGCGAAGAACTCAGCCAGGCCACCCCATGTCACACAGCTTGCCGTAGCCACGTTCATCCAGCATCACCTTGGGCGGGGGGCCACCAGAGCTAAGAGGATCATGGACCACGAGCACCTGGGATGATCAGCTTGATCAGCTTGATGATATATAACTTATATAGACAGTATACATATTATATAACTATACATATTATAATATTATATATATATATTATAGATGTGGAGGTTTCCTGAATAGATGTGGAGGTTTCCTGAAATGGGGGTACCCCATTTATCCATGTTATTTTCGGATGTTCCATGTTTTTTTTCCATCCAATGCTCGCCTGGGGATCCTCCATGTATGGAAACCCCATATCTCCAGGAGCCGGACTATGACAGTACCCTCTGGTTCTTTAACGCTTTGCGAACTGGAAAATCATCATGGTTAAGAAATGGTAAATCATGGTAAATCATCATGTGTATCATCTATACATGGGCCATTTTCCGGTTCGCAAACTGTGAAATAACCAGAGGCGATCATCCATCGGTTTCATCATGTTCGTCATCTGAGCTGCTCACATTTTCCGGTTTCAGATCGCGGTAAACGATACGCCTGGCACTGACTCGGTGAATCATCCCTAGGATCTGCTGGTGGTTGCGCCATCCCTTTTTCGGCATTCGTGATGATTTTCAAGGTCCCAAGCCACCAAGAAAAACGGCACATGGCACAATTATGGACCAGATGGACCCCCTGGGTGTGGTTCGCACGCGCACCTGTCATGCATGTGCTCTAAAGCAGCAATGATGCAGCCGACCTCAAAGGCTCTTTGCAATGGCGAAATCAATGGTTAAATCCAAGGTCAATCAATGGAAAGTTCCAACTGTTGATCCCAAAAAACCTTGGCTTCGCGGCAAAGAAAGCAGTGGAACTACCTCTCGGCTGGTCGTCACAAAAGACCTGGGGCCCCAGGGAATGTCATGGCGATATCTGGTGGTTGAGCCCTACCCCTCTGAAAAATCATGGAGTGAACATCAGTTGGGATCATGACATTCCCAATTACCCTCTGGTAATTTAACATAGCTATGGAAAATCACAATTTTTAATGGGAAAATCCACTATATATGGTCATTTTCAATAGCTATATTAAATTACCAGAGGGTAATATGGAAAGTCATAATCCAGCCATGTTCCAGTCACCACCAACCACTTATGAAACTACCCACATTTAGCTCCGCTCTGGAATGTTTCTGAAAACTCCCCCAACTGCCGAATCTTAGAACTGACCTCTCCAAATGGTAGCACCAAAAGCACTTCCAAACTTTCCAAACTGATGCTGGAAAATCCTAGAGCTGATGTTGGCCTTTGCAAGGCGCGTGATTTTCCTCTTCCATCGCCCCATCCCTGTGACATCCTGTGAATTCACGGCGCACACCGGGCCTCTGGTTTCTGTGTCATCAACTGGCAGAGAAGTCCCAGTTAGACTTTACAACAATCACCCATGTCGGACCATGTCGATGTGATTTTCGCTGCTAACCTCCATTTCCTCCATTTTTCATAGGGATTTCCAGTTGTCATGGTGAATCCTGGTCGAAGCTGCTGGGTGAATCCTGGTCCAGTCCAGTGGCTTCCTGCCTGATAAAGGCTGCCCCCAAGAGCAGCCTGACGGTGATCAACACATCTGCTGGTTTGCTGCCTTAAGAAAGGTCAATGAATGGACGGTTTTTTCATCACTACTTGGATGGTAACCATCCGTTTTCAAGTAGTATTATCAATTAGCTAATTCTGCTCACAAAACCACTTCCAGCCTCCAACAAGATATAGATAAATTCAGCATCCTGCATCAAGATCAAGGGAGCCACTGGGCCACGAGGCAAAAAATCAGATGGTCCAATGGTCCCGGACCAATGGTCCCGTCCTTGTAGGAACTCACCAAACGAATCACGAAAGGGCTATCGACCTGGCAGGAAAAACTTTCCATGGTCCATGGGGATACCCCAAGCAATGGATGATCTGGGGGTACTTCCATTTCAGGAAACCAACAGAGAAAAACCTCCAATATTATGCGGCCTCTTAAAAATAGTAATAAACAACGACAACAACAACAACAACAACAACAACAACAACAACAGAAACAACAGAAACAGAACCCAACAGCGATCCATTTTTTTTATATGAGTGCGATGTACCTGCGAGATCCATGTTCAGAATTTCAAGGTATGAAGCGGGCTGCGGGCAAAGATGAGGTCCGGTCACGGCGTTTTCAAATGAACCTGGATCATCCTGGGTGGAAGTTGGTCAAAAACGTGCCCCTTTTTATGTCCGCTGGACATGGTTTCCAAATATATGTCTGTTCGTAAACAGCAACTTTTAGGTGATGATCACCACCAACAAAAGCCATGTTTGACCTCACTTGAGCTCCCAAAATGAAGATCAGATCGACCAAAGAAAACAGGTCCGGCTGGGCCAACATCAGCATCTCTCTTTCCCAACAGACCTAGCAGAGCGTGAGCTGTCCAAAATCCAGTGATGATCAGATTATCCCTCATAAATGTGCCATTACTTGGGAGAAAATCCACCCATGATAAATTGGATATATTGGATCCAGAGTGTTGATGGTATATAGAATTTCATACAGGGTTACTTGCAAAGCCCAAATACCCTCTGGTAAACTAACATAACTATGGAAAATCACCATTTTTTAATGGGAAAATCCACTATAAATGGCCATTTTCAATAGCTATGTGTGTTTACCAGAGGGTACAAGCGGTGAAAATTGGTGGATAAGGAGGTACAATTACGAAACGTGTCCCTTTGTGGCTGTCATTACCGTTTGAGCAACCCTCTTGTAGAATCCCATCGACATCCCATGTTAAATAAGCCCATTCATCTCCCCATCAAAAAAGACCCCCAAAAAAAAGAAAAAATCTAGCACATCTATGTTGATAATCTCATGGATTTTCTATTTGTGTGATATCATCCACTAATCATCCATTAGCGTTGGTTATAGCCCCATGATTAAACATTGCCAATTACACTATCTACATCTATGTATATATATATATAGACCATTGCAACCAACATCAAAACTGAAAATATAATTTATAGTATTTTACATCTATATACATCTATATACATCTATATACATCTATATACATCTATATACATCTATATACATCTATAACCTATGTATATATATACATATATACCATCATAACAATAAACTCGAATAATTTACTGACCTGAAAACTTCGGCTATCTTGGGACAGTTCCCCCCGACCCGCCCAATGCCTGGCGCACGGCATCGTGCTTTTCCACATGGCCCTGGCCGGAAACAAACGAGGTTCGTTGGGGTAATACATGAGAGTACTATAGAATATTAGGTTCATGTAGTTCATGTAAATTAAATATGTAATATATATATATATACCCGAATATATCCATGTTTTTTCTAAAAGGAAACATAGTTGATATTTGAGTCGTTGTTTTGCCTTCAATAAAGTCCAAGGACAGACATGGAGACATGCACTGAATCTACCTGCAACGCCCCGCCTTGGAAATGCATTTCAGGGCATACCTTGCAAGGCTGAAACCAGATCGGGCTGTAAAAAGGCGCCCATGTCCTCTGACAGTATGTACTTCTTGTAGTACATGTATATTGTGTATATATATATATATACTATATATATATACTATATATATATGATCATACATAGTTATATAATGTTATATTACATATATATATGTGTGTGTATGTGTACAAATGTACCTGTAAATAGTGATAACGAGATATATGTGTGTATATATATACATACCATAGTGAGAAACCAATCCCTCTCAGCGCCTCTTCGTTGTTTCCCGGTCCTCCATGAGGAAGACCTTGGCAAAGCCGCCACTGCCCAGCAAGCACACCTGGCAACGGGAAAGCCGCTGGGGAGTCGGGAGTACCATCGATGTTTTGTTCCAAAAATGGGCCAATGTTTCAACTATTATGTGCATATATATACACTGTGTGTATATATAGATTATGGCCAATATATATATATACTGTGTATATATATATACTGTATAATATATATATACTGTATATATATATACTGTATATATATATACTGTGTATATATATACATATATTATAGCCAATATTTCTAGCTAGTTGGGCGCATGTCTGTTGGAAGCCCCCCAAAAAAAAAAGTTGCTGGCTTTTTCTACAAGCCACCTGTAGCTCGTTGCGAAGACGACTCTTCAAAAATGGGGCACCAAAGGCCCCCCCGAATTTGGTCATGTCGTTCTCCACCCAGCAGTTTACCAGGCAAAGCCAACAATAAACAGTCCCCAATTCCAACAGAAATAGGTGGTAAACAAAGCATCCTCTATCAGATGGCATGGGCTTTATCACATCCCCAATCATATCCCATGAAATCCCCAAGGATATTTAGTGAAATCTCCATTGCCAACTGGTGAAAAACGTCCCATGTAGCACCACTCGCCTTCTGAAGGTGAGAACGTGGGACATCCTGGATCTTGGTCCGAGGGTTGAGCAATGACAAGAACACTAATTACGTTGATGTCCCGGACGAATAAACCCTGCTGAACCCAATGCTGTACCCCCCCCAAAGAGTGATAGTCTGCTACTGAAATGGTAGCAATTATGATCATCACCATCAGGCCGTGGGGATGGAAACACCCCATGTGATGCCAAAAAGCACTGAGGTAAATTGGGCCATGGATTGTCTCTTTTGAAAAATTACACTGAAGAATTTTGATGTTTTTTTGTGCTGCCCAATGTGGGATCTACACTAAGAAATCCTGCCCAAATTCTCAACCATTTGAAGGCCATTATAAATATGTATAAATCATCCAAGTAGTGGTATACCCAAGAATAACCTACAAACCCATCCTCCATTCCTTCCAGTTACAGCCCCATCCCATAGTCCCTACATCCACCATGGTTTCTGGGAAGTGTTTAATATGAACAGGGAAAGGGAATCGTAGAACTATTAGCAATATCATTAGTAACTATATGTTCACATAACATATATATATACTGTATATGTTATTATAAATCAATATTATATATATATACATATATTAGACATATATTAGACATATATTAGACATATATATATATATATCATTATATATATATATATATCATTATATATATATCATTATATCATTATATCATTATATCATTATATCATTATATCATTATATCATTATATCATTATAGCATTATAGCATTATATCATTATATCATTATATCATATCATTATATCATTATATCATTATATCATTATATTATTATATCATTATATCATTATATCATTATATCATTATATCATTATATCATTATATCATTATATCATTATATCATTATAGCATTATAGCATTATAGCATTATATCATTATATCATGATATCATTATATCATTATATCATTGTATCATTATATCATATATTATTACCCACTTAGGGTTGGTTTTTGGCTTTGTGGTCCACCGTTTTGCTCGATCAAAAGCCGCGGATCGCGCCGATCGCGACCGTCGCTCCTCCACGGCGGACAGCGTGCGGCCTCGCCGAACCGCTTTGGCGACCTCGTACTCCTTGCCACAGATGGGGAAAATGACATGAAAATGACATGAAGTAACCAGATGTATACTAGGTGTATAACTAGATGTCAAACTAGGTGTATAACTAGATTTAGATGTCACCAAATAGGTAATTACCAAGTTCCCTCAACCCTGTAGATCTGGCGAAAAAAACTTGGCAAGTAACCAATGTTCATCCATAAGACATGCAGATATAAACGGGAATTGGATTTCTGGAGTGCTCCACAAAAAACACAGGAGTGGCTTTGGGGTTCCCCAAAAAGTCCCGGCCCTAGACGGGGGAAATCCCGCCGCCAAAACCCGTCTCCGTACTGGAGAGGTTCTGCACGTTTGGGAGCAGCGCCTTGCCAGGAGAGGACTCGTATCATAGGTTGTTTTTGCTCAGGAAAATTGGCGTTTTGTTTGAATGGAAGAAACACAAGAATAAGTCCATGTTCGAATCAAAACACCATGTAAACAAAATAAAACGTACAGATCACATACAGCATACACATTCCACTTCCTTGGAATCTCCCCACCGACTTCCTGCTGACTTTTGCACCTCTGCACCGTCTCCGAACGCCCCATCGTGGATGAGGGTCTCCAAGAGCACACGGATCGCCTCAACGATCGCCACAATGATTTCAATATATTTCAATATATTTCAATGTCAATTCTTGCCAGACCCGACTCAAGCAGTAAACTCAGTAAACAGTTCCACTTGATCCACTTCAACCAACAAAAAAAAACGATCCAGCCGGCCAAACCCCACCTGACCCTCGAAGGCCAAGCCTCAGCGGCACAATCCCATCCCAACAAAAAAAAAGGCCCCTTGAAACCAAAAAAAAACGCAACAATCAATATCTATAATGAATATCATGCTATAATTCTATGATGAATATTAATGCTATATCTATAATCAATATCTATAATGAATATTAATGAATCAGCATTTTCGGGAATTGATATTAGATGATATTAGGGGATTGAGATTGTCATCATGGGTTCAGCTCATGAGCTGGTATCCTGAACCATCGAATTTCAGAAGTCTACAGGGCACTGCCACAGAGCCATGTGCGCCATGGTCAAGTTACAGTATACCCTCTGGTAAACTAACATAGCTATTGAAAATGGCCATTTATAATGAGTTTTCCCATTAAAAATTGTGATTTTCCATAGTTATGTTAGTTTACCAGAGGGTATGTGGTATGGTCCTCCATCCTGCAGGTCTATTAAAATCCCTATCAGCAATATCAGCAACCCAGAGGCAACAAAAACCCAATAAAAACCCACGTAACTTGACCATGGCACTGAGGTGTTGACGCTAACCTGGGTTCCCGAGCAAACCATACCCTCAGAGCCAGCATACACGCTAACCTCTCGCCGCTTGCGGCGTCAACTTCTGGCAGGAAATAATCTCATACAGCGAGGTATGGATGCACCCAATACTCAAGTGACTCAAGGCATGTCTTGATATCAAAATGGAAACAAACCATCATAAACCAATGAACCCCCAATTGATCAATCTGGGAGGCACCATTTATCATTGGAAAAAAAACTTCGCATCCCAGCCTCAGGCACCACACAGTCCCCTCCTCGTAGCAGGGAGCGTTCACCAAAATGGCCTGGCCGCATCAGGGTGGCGTCGCTGGCGCCGGTCCGTCCCACTCTCGGCCCGCGTCCAATTCGGCACCCGGTCGACGGAGCTGCGAAAGTTGTTGGACCGTGTCCTGACGGCTGATGGCGGTACCCTCTGGTAAACTGTCCCATAACCAACTGGAAAGATCCACCATGCTATTAATGGGAAAATCCACTATTTCGACTGGGCCATTTTCCATAGCTACGTTAAATTACCAGAGGGTAGATCATCCTTTTCGGAAAGTGACATGGAAAACACCTTGGACCATTGACCGGTGATGCCATGGTGATGCCATCTTGGGGCCGAGCCTTGCCATCTGCTCCTTTTTGCTCCACCGAAACCACCTCACCCCGAAGCGAGGCCAACGACCATGCTGGAGGCTGAACCAAGTCCGATGGATTTGCCATGGGGGAGATCCTAAAACTGCCGTATTAATGGGGAGAATGATGATACTCCTTTGAAATTCGGGGTACCATATTAAAAACACAACCTCACATTCGTCGAAATGTAGACACAACTCGACATGTTCCTCATGGTGGGCATCCCCAAAGAATCCCCAACGGATGGTCCCAGAAGTGATACAGCCCCGTCCCCAGTTATCCGGTACGGCCGGTCTGAAGTTCCTGTAGCTTCTGGGTCTCCAACACAACTGCCAGAGAAGATGATGTACCAAAGGGCAGCCTGGCAGAATGCTGAAACTGCATCACCTGAAAATCGAATCGCGATTTTATTAACTGTTAAGGTGTACTTCCGAAATGTCGAAAAGTTCCACAACGTGTGCCCCCGGCAGTTATGTTTGTTGGTCTATAACCCCCATTAACTATGAACATTATACGTATGTATGTATATATATATATATATACATTATATACACCAGAAATATCCATAAATTATAGGCCAGCTAGTTGTAACATGTTACAATGTGGGTAAAACAATGCCATAAGCCATCCCCCAGTCATCACCATAAATCTATAGGTGGTATAAACTCAACCCATTCCCTGTCATGGGTGGCAGTCCCTCGGCCCCGCCTTGCGCTGAATTCCCTGAGTGATGATCCGCTCCCCGGGCCTGGAGATGGGTTAGATAGGATGGTCAAAACCTCATTGGCTCATCCTATTAGGATGGTTAATTATAGGTTAATTATGGTTAACCATCCTATTTATTGGCCCATCCTATTCTTCAAAAAGTCGTTTGTTTTGTAGAATTCGACCATCAACCAATGGGGATTTGCAACGCTTCGATGCCTGCCTGAAGGTGAAAAGACCCAAGGCATTGCAGGCCAATTCCCATCCTGACCGATGGTCCCAGCTGGGATCCCCTCGGGTGCCAGTTTTTGGGGAAACCGCCGGGAGATGATCATCTGTCATGTCATGTGCTGTCAGTTTGTGTAGAGTATATAAGATGATATGGCTATGGATCAATACCTATACATACCATTTTTAGGGGGATGAACATCCATTTACCAGCTATTTTGATGTGAACTACAGGGGGATAGGGTTTTGACCCATCCCCATATGATGTTATAATATGTTATATAAATAACATATAATTATAGCTAGTTTTAATTTTTGTATAAATATGTATTAAATATGTATATCCTCATTCCTGCAGGTCAAATCCCAACAACTCCTATTTCATGCCAGCCCCCGAAGCACTTCAGGGCGACTTCACCGGTGAAACACCAGTACTGAGCGGCCCAGACGTTCTGCTTGCAGCAAGGGCCACAGAACTGGCACCTACAGGGGAAGCGATCCTGCGGTGTTTCTCAAAGTGTCTGTCTGTTTTTTTGTTCGAGAAATTTCGATCCTTCGTACTAAAAACGTTCCTGGAATCAGTTCCAAGTATTTTGAAGTACGATATTCCAGTGGGTTGTCCTCAATTTGAAGGACTATTGCTACTCAGTGTATATGATTGGTTATCCTATCTCATCAAAAACCGGTTGGTTGTCCTATCTTTCTCCCCTATGGATGATGATAATCCCCATTAAACCAGCGACTCCAGTCGCCTCGTCCAGCAAAGTGCAGTAGTCCTGCAGAAACTGGTCATGTCATGATCCAAAGCTACCCTGGGGGTCCCGGTTCAAAAATGGTCGATTTAAAAATTTGGACCCATCCCATCCTGAGAAGTGTAAAATTGAGTATATATATAAATTTGAATTGAACAGATGTTTGAAATATGAGTTTCACGCCAACTCTGTGTCTAAATTGTGGAACCACTTCAATGGATCCGGCGACACAAGGCCGGCACCTGAAAATGTGCTAAGTTTACCATCGATGGCTCAAAATTCGAGGCCCAAAGAGATGAAAATCGGACGGAAAATCCAGGAAATCCCCGCATCAACAAAATGGAGGTTTTAATTATCAAAAAAAACATTTATGAATGGGGTTATCGGACGGAAAGAAAATGACCAACAAATCTGTGGTCCCCTTTCCCTCAGCCATTCTCCTTGAAGTGATGGCCCTTCCGGTTAAAGTGTGCCTTGAAGTGCCTGAAATCGAGGAAAACATCCCCGAGGCCCATGGCCACGATAGTGATTTCTGTGTAATCATGGCTTTCGCGCCCTTTATGCCACTGATATGCACTGATCATTGGCAAAGCTCCCACGGTTCCGACCTTCTGGAGATCACATAGACCTACCAGCGCATCGTACGACCCATCAATGTACCGTTGTGCTTGCTGAAAAACTTCTTATAGACAAGCATATGCAGTGTATATGAAGAAATATGACTAAGATTGATTAACATTGATTAACTATATTTTGATACACGATTAACAATATACATCAAACACGTTCAGCATCAATTGCCTTGGAATATTGTGTAATATTGTGTAATTGTTTGCACCGCGCATCATTGTTAATCCATCATTTCTCGTTAGTTGCCCATCATGTTGCCTTTGTTGGTTACTTCATGCCGGATCACAAGTTTCATTGGAGGTCTCCCTATTTTGTTGGTGCATTCTGTTGGCACCCCCCCTATGCTTGTTGACAAACTTCCCATGTTTGTTGGTGAAAATCAACCTTTTCTGAGTGTTCAATGTCCATGTTTGCTTGTGAAATTTCTGATTTGTGTTGGTTAAATCAGCCATTTCCTTGCGAAATCCCAATCGTTGCTTATTAAATCCCAATCTTTGCTGGTTTAAATCGCCCCATTCCTGTGTCAGATTACCAGAGGGCATTAACCGAGAGTCAATTGATATCCCATTCATATCATCCCATTTCAAGATCCCATGAATTTCACAAATATTCCATTGAAAAATCCGGATGATATCCCCATTGACATCCCCAGTATATCATGGTATATCCCCATTTTGCCTCACCAACTTCCCCTTGCCTCAGAGTCTTCCATGGCTCTGAACGTGGCCTTGAAGCAGCGCTTCGCCGAAAAATCAAAGGGGAAAACCATTGGGGGAAACCAATGAATAATGGGGATATGAATGCTAAAATTTAGATGAATGGGGATATTAATATATATATATATTAATAGGACAATGATCCTTATTTATATGAATTTTCCTTTGGGGATAAAAATCTAAATGCTGATGTGAACAATGAATTGGAATATTCATGGGATATGAATGGGATTTTCATGGGATTTAACCAAGCCAAATGCTGATTTGACTAATGAATAATGGGGAGATGAACGGGAAATTAATGGAATATCTCCAATCAAATGGGATATTAACATTTATATATTCATGAAATTGGTGGGCTAATGGTTATAATCAAGATAACTAATCAACATTCTATTAAGATCAAAGGAGAATCAATACGAATGAGGAAATGATGGGGATAGAATGGGATATGAATGGAATATTGGCAATTGGTCAATACATGTGAATGCCCTCTGGTAATTTCACATAGCAAGGGAAACTCACCATTGTTGGTAGGTAAATTATCGGACTAAATGGGGCATGGTTTCCATCGCTATGTCATATAAATTACCCGAGGGTAAGGGAAATCAAAGGGAAAAAACATGTGTTCTTTGAGAATTGTTGGGGAAAAAATACATCCTCCACTCATTATTCTTGGATTTCTCGTTTCTGGTCTGCGAGGTGACTGAAAAAAAACATGGTGCACTCTCTGGTAGTTTCTGAGTTTTTTGGTGTGGGAAATCCCCATATTATGTTTGAAAAAAATTGGGAAATTGTCTTGGAAAATGAGGTGGGAGGCTGTGGTTTAATTTCACTTGGCAATGCGAAACCCACATGTTTGCCTCACATAGCAAAAGATATTGGAAATATTAAAAAAGATGGAAAGATTGTCATGGTTCAGTGGCAACATCACCACATCACAGGGCCTCCCGGAAGGTGTTGTAGATCAAGGACCTGGGCAACCCCCGATGGTAATCCAATACTATATGGCAATGGAAAATCCATCATGGATGAATTTCCATTGATTTCCCACAAAAACCTCCATCCATGTGGGATTTTCAGTTGCCCTGTTTGATTACCGGAGGGTAAATGGGTGAGTCTGAAACTGGGTATACCCCAAAATGGCAATTCTTATGGGGGAAATGATGATAAACCATGGGAATGGAATCCAGGTGCCCTACTTTCAAACAACCCAAAATCTGAAATTGATGATCTTTATTGAGTTTTAGAAATTGAGGTTCTTTCGGAGTGATCTATGATCTCAATATCAATAGATAATGATTAGATTGATGAGAGATTATCTGGATTTTTCTATACTCTATTTTCTATTGTTATGATCTATTACATATGTGTCCATATCCATATATATACATATATCCTAGTGTAGGAAAGCCCCAGATTTCAGGAAAAACGATGGTTTCCTGTAGATTTTCTCTTAAACCAAGCCATCTTGACCGGCAATTCAACCGAGGTGCAGTTCTCCGAAGCTATCGCCACTGCCAAGTTCGGCCACCAAGTCCTGGCCCAGTTCGGATCCGATGGAGAAGATGAGATGTAAACATGATATGGTATGATGTGTGTCTATGTATCTATGTATGTATGTATGCATGCATGCATGCATGTGAATATATATATATATACGTATATACAATGATACAGTAGTATGTGTATATATATATATATTGTATGTATGTATGTATGTATGTATGTATGTATGTATGTATGTATGTATGTATGTATGTATGTATGTATGTATGTATGTATGTATGTATGTATGTATGTATATAACATTATATAACATTATATAACATTATATAACATTATATAACATTATATAACATTATATAACATTATATAACATTATATAACATTATATAACATTATATAACATAATTACCATACAATGATTGATGTACTCAAAAATGCAAATGGATGATATCCTCCTTAATGGCACTTCCATTTAGTGCAGGGACCAAACACCAAAGCTCTTGGGCCCAACATCTTCGTCTTGCACCAGTGCACTCTACCGGTAATCCCTTGAAATGCGAGCATCGGCTATTTTCGGATCAACCTCCTCCTTTATAAATCCAATAAGACATGAATAGGAACCCCCTGTTTCTAGTGGGTTCGTGTGAAAATGGTGCATACACCATGGTAAATCCATCGGTTGCTGGGAGAATTGGGGTGCCGCGCTGGATCTTCGGCCAGGGTCAACATCTCAGGGTCCACCTCGAGAACTTAAGCTGGGTCCCCTGGTGGGTTTACTGGGTCACCTGGTGGAATTTCAAAGCAAATTGGGACCGCTGTCCCAACATCTGCAGCCCAGCGTGACTGGCAAGTTGATTTCCAGGTGATTTTGAGTGCATACCAGGATTGTTTGTACCTGAACAACTTTCGGGTTGCACTGATCCTAGACGCCCTATCACTTCCACTTTCCCTGCCCACATTTTGCATCTCCCGCAATGCGGCTGTCAAAGCACTTCGCTTCACGCCAACAGCCAAGACAGCGTTTCTCAGCTGAACTATGAACACCTCTTTGCACATTGGAGAATTGGAAAATGGCTTTCCAGTGCATCGGCATCCAGCTGTTCATCGCGACTTGCAGGGACAGCTAGGACAGCTAGGTAACCAGCTGCAGGCTCACTTCCACCAAGGGTCAAGGCCGGTGCGGAAGTCCTGCTCAGTCCATGGGCTCAAGGCCAACTTGCCCTCAATGGTGGTGGTGTGAGCCAAGGCCAAGGACAGTGGGGCAGGGCCACGCACCACCTTGCCGTTCTCGTCGTACTGGGAGCCATGGCAAGGGCAGCAGAACTTGTTGGCAGCCTTGTTCCATGGAACGACGCACCCAAGGTGAGTGCACACGGACAGGAGAGCGAAGTCCTTGATGTTGTCCGGGGTGGAGATCAGGTAGAAGGGCTCGCCCTTCAATCCCTGCACCAGCTCACGGTCGTTGTCCTTGTGGCCCTTCACCCAGGCCTCCAGGGTCACGGGATTGCCATCGACATCTCCCGCAAGCTGCGCACCACCGCCACCACCTGCCACAGGAGGCACGAAGTACCAGAGGTAGCAACCCAAAGCCACCAAGACGGGGATGCCGGCGGTGGTCACCAGGACGAAGTTCATCAGCTGTCGGCGCCTCAGTCCAGACAACCCCTGGACCTGGTGACAAGAAACCAGGATGGTCCAAAGATAACGAAGTAAAGATCTTCCATATGTGATAGAACGGTGTGCCCAGCCCATGTACTTGTCAAGAATCACGAAATGGATCGAAATGGGGTTGCAAACCCACAAAGAAGTGCCAAACTCCAGTCGTAACACTGGTCTGCTGAGAATTTTAGGTGCAGTTTCACTGGCACTGCTCCCCAATTCAAGGTACAAAGTGTTCAAGAATCAAATGATATGTATAATCTGTATATCATTCTATATCTTCCAAACTTAATAACTTGAAACTGGCAACTTTGGTACTCTACATCTTATCAAGACAACACCACTATTTAGATCCAACATACATGGCATCCCATGGCCCAGGTGCTGCATATCTGGCACGAAGCCCGTGTACTCGCCCGCAGCGTGCATGGTGCTGAGTTCACCCCGAGAGACTGGCACCTTCGCAGCGCGATGGGAAAATCTGCAGGAAAAACGGGTGATTTTCCGGCTGTAAAATGGTGCCTTTGTTCCCAACCTGATTGGTAAATTGTAATAATTCGCCAACCTGAAATAGGACCATTTGGGGATAGTTACCCGAATCCTATCAGTCTTCTAGTGAAGTTTAAGTGGAAATAAGTTGAATAATGTGGTAAACCAAACAGTAAAGCTACCATTTGGGGATGGTATAATGGCCAATCCATTTGTGGTAGTATTTACAGGAATGGTTAAAGGAGTGGTTATAGTAAATGCTCATCAATGCTTATAACCATCGACTATATGGATAATTAGTAACTCTATCATATGGGTCACTTTGCGAGGCGAATCATCCCATCTTTAGGGATAATATATATATACATACACCGCGTAGAAAATAGATGGCGCAAAAAAAAATAGCGACGGTAGATGGCGCAGCCTTGCCGTAAAATCGCTATTTTTGGCAGATGGCGCAGCCCCGAATAGCATCCCTAATGAATATATGAATAATATGGAATAATCATATACCCTTTTTCAGAGTTGACACCACAAGGGACGGCCCACCTGTGGCCCGACAAAGGCACAAGTGGCCAGCATGCCTGCGGCCAACACGGCCTAGGCGGCAGGATCCCAGGACGAAGCCTACTTAATCACCATCCACACCAAGCAATGGGGAAAAACAAACACTTCCTAACTGGGATTAAGATGATCTACTGCCTACATCCTAAGACTCTGAAATGAGTTTAAGATATTTTGAGTATTTTGCGTGGGACAGGCCATGATTCTGACAAACAGGAAAGTTATTCTGAAAATGTACAGCAGATCGAGGTGGATCTGCTGTTTTCGCTTGAGAAACATGGTTTTTGCTCACTGGGTTCAGGGCGTGCTGGCAAGCCCCCACTTCAGCCCGAAGTGCTCAATAGCACCAATTCATCTCCCTGATTTTGAGATGACCCAAATCATTGAAATCTAACAGATCTAACATGCTTGAGACATGTCAGGGAAAAGAACTGCAGAAAACTGTTGAAGGTTAATGGCAGTTAATACTACAAGGCTGCTCTTCTTACTGTCCCATCAGCTCCACCCATCCCTGTCAAGGAGCAACTCCCCTCAGCATGCGTGTCTTGGTCGTCATTGTTGCAACGTTCCGGGGCTGTTCTTTTTTGGCAAAAAAAACTGCGGCGAACGGAACTGCGGTCCGATTCGTGGCGGCCCGTATGTTTTTTGCTTTGACTCGATGAACCTAACGATGGAAAGTAGCTCTTTGGAGTATTTTACACGTAGTTTTTTATCAGTAATTTTGGGTAAATCATGGGAAAAAATCTAAACACTAACCTTGGACCGATCAACACGTCGCTCTTGGACCTCGACTCCCAGGTTGATCACATCCCCATCGATGGGTGAAACAGTTTTATTGGTCGTTTTCCCGACGTAAATATGATAATCCTCATCTTCGATTGTTGATCTCTCATAGTCTCATAGTTCCATGAATTTGGATGCTTCAAATTCCAAGTTGGTTGGTAAAGAATTCCCCAAAAATCCAAGCTGGTTGGTCAAAAAAAACCCAAAATTCGGTGGTTGAAACCATTGAACCCCGAAATCCGCCGGTGTCCAACGTCCAGTTGAGGCGTGCACCAGCCATTCGCTAGGTTGATCCAAAAAGGCCACCTGCATGGCGAAAAATGGGGGGAAAACTGGGTCAAAGTTCCTGAAAAATGGGGAAAAGAGATGAAAAGTTACCATTGATACCATTGTCTCAGAAAAATGATGGGGTATTTCACTGATTTTCTAAAGTGGTATCTGATGAAAAGGTACCGTTTGTTTGAGAGCATCATCGGGAAAATGGACCAAAATCGACGGTCTACTTGGATTTGCTGACGTGGGCCCACCAGAAAAATCATGGAAAAAACGCCCAGGGTTTTCCTGCCGATTCGCCAGATGGTGGATTAACCAATGAGAAAATCGACAATCACTTTTGGCAAATCCAGGTTGCTCAAAACACGGATTTCATGTTATTTAAAGAATAACTTTGGCCATTGAAATTGAAATGTGCGTGACCGTTTGGTGGTCAGAGTCTCCAAAAAGGTGGATATGTTTACATATTTATTTACAATGTGTATATATATATACATATCATGATATGTATATATAATTATATATGTTATACTATCGTGTATACGATGATGATCAAAACACCAGTTCTGCGGAGAACATCCAAATATCAGGGCCCTGGGGCGGTCATCCCAACAACTTTTGCCATGGATTTCTTGACCATTGAAAAGTGAAAAATCCATGGAACATCATTTATATAGATCTAACAAGATACACTAAGATCAAAATTATCTGACCCCAATCGATTTTTCGCACCCAGGTGCCACCAGGCTGTCATCTTGGGAGCTTGGTCGGCCTTGACGTAGTAGCGGCCCGCGCAATCGCGGCCACATTCCGTGACCTTGGGCTGACATTACTATCCAGTGTCAATTCATAACTACATTCACGACTACCTGAACCATGAATAACCATTAATACCTTAATAACCCTGACTATCACTATAACCATTCATGGCCGCTCGATATATAAAGCATGTTGGGGTCGCTCAATTTTCAAGGCTGTCGTCCCAGCTCTGATAGGCCATCGCAGGCAAAAAGGCACGCGAAAGAGGCGTCTCTTGGTGGGAAAGAGAATGCGCAGTCAAAACAGTTTTTCCCACAAAAACTATATCAGGGAGTAATACATACATATATATATATACACGTATTTTTATACGTATAATATGTATCTACATGTATATAATACCTATACAGTACATATATATATACAAACATATATATATAATCTATAATCCCATCCGCCTGATATCAAACGTACCCCATAATCCATGGTTCAGTAGGGGAATTGCACATATTGGGGACACAGAATGAGGGTTATTTAATACTAGGTGAATGGATTATAATATGTGTATATATATGAAATAAGAGGGAGAAAGAGAGAGAGAGAGAGAAAGAGAGAGAGACTCAGGGAAACCAAAAAAACAAGCAAAAACAAAAAAAATGGTTTAGATTCTTGATGGGGAAGGTTTATGTTTAATTATGAAGTATGTATAGTTACCTATATATATATAATACATAGTTCATATATACATACTTTACATAGGTTATATATCGTTTCTCCCATCCAAAACTAAACCATCAAGTGGTGACTGGTGCATCTGCCTCCTTCCCCTGTGCTTTGTTCTGGCCCTGACGATTCCAATGTTTTCGTCCTTCTCGCCCTGGTGACGTGAAGTCTGGATGATATTGATGGTATGATTGGGGATTAATGGGATTCGAATGGGATTTTTGGTGGGATATGAATGGGGCGATGGGATAGTTACTAGTGGGATATGAATGGGATATCTATATATAACCAACAAGAATATGGATATATGATATGTAGGGATACAATGGGACATATCAACAACTTGACACGATATTTGAGGGTAGCAGGATCACTTTGGAACACACTCTGATGCATCACTTTGGAACACAGCCATTTTCGCATCACTTTGGAACACAAAATGATACATATCATCAAAACAATGCCAACCACACAGACATGAGATTTACACCTGCCACGCAACATGAAGGTCGATGTCACAAAATGCCACGCCTGCCACACAACATGAAGGTCGATGTCAAAAAGTGCCACGCCTTCCCTGATCATCTCTCATTCATGTTCCAGTGGGGTGGGGTGGGTGGGGTGGGGTAATGACGTTCATGTTCTTGTGCACACACAGGCACAGCAACCTCATCATCTTTCTTGCTGTCCAGCAGACACAGGCACTCCTCTTTCATGATCAGTTACCGGTGGGTTGGGGTGGGGTGGGGTGGGGTAATAATGTTCATGTTCCTGGGCACAGCAACTTTATCATCTTTCTTGCTGTCCTGCAGACACAGGCACTGCTCATTCATGATCAGATACCGGTGAGGTGGGGTGGGGTGGGGCGGGGTAATAACGTTCATGTTCCTGTGCACACACAGGCACAGCAACCTCATCATCTTTCTTGCTGTCCTGCAGACACAGGCACTGCTCTTTCATGATCAGTTACCGGTGGGTTGGGGTGGGGTGGGGTGGGGTAATAACGTTCATGTTCTTGTGCACACACAGGCACAGCAACCTTATCTTTCTTGCTGTCCAGCAGACACAGGCACTGCTCATTCATGATCAGTTACCGGGTGGGGTGGGGTGGGGGGGTGGGACAATAACGTTCACGTTCCTGTGCACACACAGGGACATTTACGCTGCGGGTATATAACCCTTCGCCGAACGTTAAGATAAAGGAGGATCAGCACGCTTCACCTTTACGTAATGGTGATGATGATGATGATGATGATGATGATGATGATGATGATGATGGTGAGGAAGCTGATGATGATGATGATGATGATGATGATGATGATGATCATGATGATGATGATGACGAGGAGGAGGAGGAGGAGGAGGATGCTGATGATGATGATGATGATGATGATGATGATGATGATGATGATGGTGATGACGATGACGATGACGATGACGATGACGATGACGATGACGATGACGATGACGATGACGATGACGATGATGATGATGATGATGATGATGATGATGATATGGCCTTATACGGGAATGAAGATCATGATGACCAGGCGCGTTCCAAAGCGACGCATGAGACCGCGTTCGAAAGCGATGCTTTTGAACGCGTTCCAAAGCAAGTACCAAACCATATTTGAGTGTGTCTCAAAACCTCTAAAGTATCCCCAATTCCAGTGGATTCTCCTCGTTTTTTCCATTTAATGGCCACAGACAGACCACTTTTCTGGCGTTGATTCTTCTTGATCGTCGGTCCTTACCAACAAGTTATCACTTTTAGACTTCACCGACTTCACCCCAATTTTTAGAGTCATCCCATTCCCATCACTACAGGCTGGTGTTCGAACGGAGAAGACCCGCGCGCCTTTTCGGGCTGCATCCTCACTCGATCTCCCACCTCACAGCCAGAAAACGGATGTCGAAAGCTGGATCTGGTTTCAAAATATCCCACAGAGGTTGGCTGTGCGGCTGTGCATAATCCCATGATTTCAAAGCAATTTTTGTTGCTTTCCAGGGATTTCTTTGGCCATCCAAACAGTTCAGAAGTTCCTTTCAATGCGATTGGCTGGTTGTAATTTACTGAAATTTTTGGAAGTGCCAATGGCTGGTTGGTGGATTCAACACCCCTGCAAAAATACCGATGTCATTTCTGATCAGCATCCACTTTGGACGGATGGAAAAATACAAGTTGTTGAAACCATCAGTCGTATTATATGTATATATATATGGTTTATACATTAATATACATTATAATTATAATACATCTGTATAAATACGTGTATATATATATATACGTATATAATATACAAATTTCCTCCTGTAGTCCCATGATCATCACTGAAAACTTCACTAAAGCAGCGCCACCTGAAAGCTGGCCATCTGCATGAAGTCTGCTTTGGATGCCACCGTGCTGCAAGGCGTCCTGGTTGGCAAACACCTCATGGCAGTAGCTATTGAACCCATTTAGAAATCGTTGATTTACCTATGAAAAATGGTGATGTTCCACTGTTCCATGATTATTTCATAGTTATGTTGAGTTTACCAGAGGGGAATGCCCATAGTCCCCCTCTTCCGATTCTTGATGATGTTTCTTCTAGTCCCCAGTAAACAATGCCATGTCCATCCAATTATGTATGGCTTACCGAAAATATTGTCATCTTCGTGTAGAGTAGAGTTAGTCTGCAGCTGGCGTGTCTAGGGGCATGAAATGGATTTGAATGTTGATTAGTTGATTCTCATTGTCCCACTCTTCAATGGCCATTTATACCCTATTTTCAGAATTGTTTAGAACAATAGCCCACTAAATAATATGCTAATATGCTAATGATATCCCATGAATATCCCATTACCCTCTGGTAAACTAACATAACTATGGAAAATCACCATTTTTAATGGGAAAATCCACTATAAATGGCCATTTTCAATAGCTATGTTAAATTACCAGAGGGTAACTTCCAAGAATGACCCAGCCATTGTTGTTGTGGGCCCCCAAGTCTGTTTTTCAGCCCTGTCTGTCAGCCTCCAGTCTTCACTGCGCGGCGACACCCATCCTGGCCCCTGGCGTCTGGAAATCACCAAGGGGGCTCAATCATAATTATGATACCCTCTGGTAAACTAACATAACTATGGAAAATCACCATTTTTAATGGGAAAATCCACTATAAATGGCCATTTTCAATAGCTATGTTAAATTACCAGAGGGTAACTTCCAAGAATGACCCAGCCATTGTTGTTGTGGGCCCCCAAGTCTGTTTTTCAGCCCTGTCTGTCAGCCTCCAGTCTTCACTGCGCGGCGACACCCATCCTGGCCCCTGGCGTCTGGAAATCACCAAGGGGGCTCAATCATAATTATGATACCCTCTGGTAAACTAACATAACTATGGAAAATCACCATCTTTTATGGGTAAATCCACTATAAATGGTCATTTTCAATAGCTATGTTAAATTACCAGAGGGTATAATTAGTTTGGGATATACTACCTGAATAGTTTGGGGTTAGTATAAGTTATACTGCTATGTGACATATGTCTATGTTATACTACCTAAGTCTGTTAGCCCATCTTTTCTTCCTCAAAAAGGATTATGATTATAGGTACAATAACCTCCAGCAAGGTACTTAGTAGATCGTAGCAACGGGAAAAGCCATGGTAATTCATGGTACCTTCAAATCTGCGGTGAGCAGGGTTCAAAAGCCTCGGCTTTTACCATGAAACACTGCTTGGTTAAGAACGGGATTCCCAGTTCATGGATGAACAGATTCTCACCAATATATTGGATTATATGAAGGTTGCCAAAAATGCTGGTACCCCCAAATCATCCAAGTTAATTAGACCATTTTAGTATTTTTATTGCCATGGTTTGTGGATCCACCATTTTAAGAAACCACCACATTGGGTAGTATAACCTGAAACTAATCATCCTTGCACTGCTACCCGCCTTGAAGGGGTTGAAGTCATCCGCCCACTCAGACATTGCCTGCAGATCGTGGAATGAGTTCCCAGCGTTTCTGATCGTTTCTTGTGCCAATATGAGACAAACATCATCCTTAAATAACCCGTTTTTTAACCACATCCCAGTGGTTTTTTCCTCATTTTGTATACGCTCCAGTGTCATCAAACGTGGCGTGGCTGGAAAATCCTTCATTTAGTTCAATGGTTTTCTCAGCTATACACCTCCATTTTTGGAGGATTTTCCAGCCAGCCACGTTTAATGACACCGGTGGGACCCAAATAGGCTATATCACATATTGTTGGTTATAAACTCACACAATATCCCTATTGTAATCCCATTAATACCCCATTATAATCCCCATAGCTCTACCATTTTCCAGTTGATTATTGGTAGTTTAACCACGCAGCCCGCTGCCTTAGGACCTTTAGGTGCGGATGCTAAGCGTACAGACTGTGAATGCAACCTGTCAGGCTGATGGGCAGTTTTGGGACCCCGAAATCCGCTGCAAACCGAAATGGGAGCTATAGGCTATAGGTTATTCTTTCGCCCTTGCGTTTGGGTCCTGTTGTACCCAATGCTATGTCATGGCGTTTTGTGCGCAAGAAATCCGGCTTCAATAGACTCTGCCATGCTGCAATCACCATTTCCAAGGGCAAAATATTGTAAATTCGTCCTGGGCAAATGCAAATCATTTGGCTTCAAAGGCTATGAAGCTTTCTGGTGCAATGAACATCCATAAATCCCAGCTGGTCGCGGCCTTGAGTTCGGCTGATGGCCTTTTCGGCAACTCCTTGGCGAGCGTTTCGAGGGGTTTGCCACAAACCAGTTGGGATGGCTCCAAAACCACCCATAAATTGGAGATGATGGGGAGTTTATGGCAATATTGGGTTTAACATGGTTGATAATCTCCATAATCTCCATAATTATGGCTCCAAACCCATGTTTATGGAGATTATGGAGATGATTGGGGATGGTTGATAATTAGGTTTAACATGGTTTAACCATTTTTTTCGACCTACAAGGATCTGTAAATTCGACTGCTGATCCTCTGCTGAACCAGGATCCTGAAAAAGCCTCTTTTTTCGGTATGGATAAGTGTGGGCTATCCAAAAATCCAACATGGCCATGGGAAGAGATTCTCCACTTCGGAAACTTCCAGCAGTCTATCGACATTCAGTTTGTGCGTGCTGAGCGTGACTCGACATACACTCAAGAAACAGCGCAAAACATTGTTGTGTAATTACCATGTTAAATTGTTTGATGACCCAAGTATTACCATGTCATTGTTTCATGACCCCACTATTGTGGATTGTCACATGCGGCCGGCCATGGCCGGCCATGTCTGTGGTCTATATTCAAGGCATATCAAAAAGTCTTTCCTCAGCAGGAGACAGTTGCCGAGGCCGCTACAAACTTTTCAAAAAGTTTTGCTTTCGCTTCAGTCTCTCCTGCACGCTGCTTCAACGGTGCAAAGTTGTGTCTCTGGTGGATGTCGCAGCCATGATGACACCGGAGGCGACTGTAAATCTATGGATCATCTATGATTATCCCATGATGATCCCGAAAAAAAACCATACAAAAACCATACCAAACTACCATTGAACATCATTGAACCACACAATGCCTTATGAAACTACCATAGAAAAATCATATAAATCATACAAAACCATACTGGACCTACCACGAAAGCCCCATGGGGCCCCCCATCCCCACCGAGATCGTGAGCTGCGCCACAGTGGCTTCGGCCGACTTCGGGGAGCGGCTCTCGTCGCGCCCGCAGTCAGCCTTGGATCACGCCATTTTAGGACACCAAATGTGCATGGCGGCATGGGTCAAAACCTAATAGAATAGGACTGTATATATATATATATCATAGATATATCATAGAATTTCATATATCCATGTACTCCATTCATATCCCACGATTTATGATATATAGTTTATGGCGAGTTGGTCCTTGAAATTTCCTCCAAAACAGTTGAAATCCTTGTAGATCAGGTGTATATTGTTTGAATATAGCGGTGGTGTATCTGAACATGATATGTATATCTAAATACCCCCCCCTATACCCGCCTAAATTGCCACTTTAGTGGGGAAAGGGAACATATTATTATTATTGTTATTATTATATTATTATTATATTATTATTATTACTATGATTATTATTGTTATTATTATTATTGTATAACCAGTACATATAGAGTGATGAAGCCAAAAACAGGGGTTGCAGTTATTCACTTGGGCCACTTGGGGTTGCAGTTGAGGCTACTTCTATGAGTACAACTATGGTCCTTCGATCAGCAAATGGTGAAATTATTGAAATTGGTTATCCTCCAGTGTCCTCAAACGCTGGGAAATCCCTCACTAAAGGTGATTTTCCCAGCTTTTTGAACCTCCCGTGTTGATAGGGATTGTCCAGTCACGGAGATGATTACCCGAAGGTACCCATAGATCCAGAAAATACAGGGAATCGATATTATGACATATACAGTGTATATATATATATATACATATGCAAAATAAATGAGTTGTTCTTTCACAACCATTCCAGTAATTATGGGGATGAACATTTTGTCGATTCTGAATGGAAGTTATCCACAAATGAAAACAGGTGATGTCTCATGGTTGTAATGGAACAAATGATCATAAAAATATGAATTATATTATATTATGTTATGTTATATTATATTATGATATATTATATTATATTAATATATATATATATATACATGTGTATTATATATATATATACATGGAAGTTGTACAACCAACAGAAGATTCGTTTTAATTTGCAACTGATTGGGAGTCAAGGTGCCAAAATTCGAGACTTCGTGTGCAAGAGATGTAGGTAAAATTAGGCAAAAATGATGCCATCTCTCAACAGCTGCCACAAATACCCAGCCAAACCACTAGGGGAACTGTCGTCCGACCAGACATGGGTAGTGAAACACCAAACCACCCCAAATTTGGCTTTTTATTCACATCTCAAGCAAACAACATTCTGTTGAAAATCGGTTCATCTCTGGCCCTTAAATCACCATAAATCACCATCTGGTGATTTAACGTAGCCTTCGGAATCACTGTTTTTTCTAGATAATTTACCTCTTAGACTACGAGAAATACAGATAATATATAATAATATGCACATATATAAAATATACATATAATATGATGCAGTTATGATAATATATATATATAATATGATAATATATACAGTATATATTATATGAGGCTACCCTCAGCTCCCAGCCATCCCAGCCCTTGCCGTTACCAGGGGACGAAGGCGTGGAAGGTCCCCCGTTTGATCACGAAGAACTCCTGTCCCACGTCGCCACTTTGGGCCACCACTGAGCCCTGCGGCGGACCAAAAATGAGCCAAATGGAAAAATGTGAATGCGAATGTGTATGCATTGCTCATACCATTGGGTGTGGAACTCCTTTACGAAAAGGACTAAGGACATGCTGACGGGAACAGAATCAGCCCAAAAAAGACCATGTTCAGATGGAAAAAAAACCCAACAGACTGCAACAGACTCGACTTCTCTTCATGGAAGTTGGGAACAAGCCACCAGGCACCTTGGGCACGATCATAGGAACTGCTCCCTGGGTCCAAGTCAGGGAAGATTTTACAGGAAAACCGGAAGCAACTGTAGGGAAAATCACGATGAACCAATGGATTTTGGGAATATGTTCCATATTTTGGACAGACAAACACACATATTTGGGCCTGGGGTTCACCCTGGGGTTCCACAACAGGCCACACAATACCGGCTGGGCATCCAAGTAGCGGCTGCGATACTGTGCATCACCTGGTTGCTGACCTCGGATCCGAAAGCATCAGCTGAAAATCTGTTGATGTCCCGCATAAAATGGAAAATAATGTTGCTATCAGTTTGATGATGATGATGATGATGATGATGATGATGATGATGATGGTTTATCATGGCTTCATCACTCCAACCATTCTCGGCCAGCCACCCAGTTCCCAACTGCGACCCAGAAACGTCGTGCAAAGCCCGGAGGTTGACGTTGTTTTTCAGAGCGGTAAGAAGAAAGGCCTCGGCTGCACGCTTGGTGTTTCTTGAAATGGAAAGAGAATAACGGTTTCGCCCAACATTTAGCTGCAGCCACAATAAAACAAAGTGGTATATGTGGGAGTATTTGGTTTTCCCCTATTTCAAGAAACAAAAATAAAATAAAAAACCATGTCTTGCTGTTAGAGAGTCGGTATGTTGCGACCCTTCCCGGCCTGTTCTTGAGGTGTTTTTTCGACGGCACTCATGGTTTGCCACGAGGGATCGCGCGATGGACCGCGATCCACAGTCAGTGCGGGCCGCTTGGGAAAGAAAAGTTTGTCCTACGGCCAAGTGTTCACAGCATGACATGAGAAAGCTCACTGGTGTCCTTTCCAATCTCGGAAAACATAGGTTTGGAATGGTTTGGATCAGTTTGGTCCTACCCAGTGGTGCAAACTGAGTGAATTGCCCGGCACTTTTCCCATCAACCAATTACAGCCCAGTGGTTTT